AGTCTTCCTGTTCCTCTCCCCTTTCCTTCCTTTTGCATGGCGATCTTTGTTGACTTTTTGGTGTAGAATCGAAGAACGAGGTTTGAAAATACATTTTCTGCAAGGTTTTGATGAATATTCATGATTTGAGGCGGAAGGCTACAAAAGTGGAGAGGTTGGTTGAAATGTAGGGTTGCACACTGCATATTTCCTTGTCCTACTTTCAGCTTGTGTATCTCAAGTTTTAGACGCTTGCCACATGTTGCTCCATCTGTGGTAGAAAGCGTTTCACCCAACGAAAATTTGGGAAAAAGTTAGAGCCGGTCTAAGATACGAGAATTAACATTAAAGTCAATGGGGAAATCTTTAGTGATCTGTGGCCATACTAGCGTTATCTCATCTAACCTCGTTAACAGGGGTCGCTTTCGCCGCAGCAAAATGGCTACATTTAGCGGACAAATTCCTATTAGTTGTTGGTGCGTTAGGTGTCTTTTTGGCTTCTCGAGACGGTTTTGTTACGTAACATCTCATTTCCGGTACGTATTGACTCAAAGACGTCTAAATGTTCCCGACTTCAGAACGTGACGATCTCGACGACAAGCAAGGCACAACACGTGCTTAAATATCTTAGACAATAAGACACTTAGAACTCGCGACATACCCTGGGAAATCAATGTCTGTAAGTAAAATTATCCACGAACATTCTGACTGTTTTATTGTATGCATTTCCCGCAAACCAATACTAATACATAAAACATGAAAATTAGAGTAAATTTGTTGTAATTGGGAGCGTATACTTTAGACGAATCCCCACGACAGTCATATTATTGTTATTCTGTAAATCTTGTTTCCATGAATGATAATTGTATACTCATCTTAATGAAAATACCTTGACAACTTCACCTATATGGATCATTAGTCAGTTTTCATTGTATATGTTCAGAATTTTTTGGATAATTTTGTCTTCCTAATTAAAGTAGCTAAGTCTCTAACTCAGTATCATCCAAAATCTTCAACATTGAAAACACAATTTATTTATCAATTTAAATCAACATTGATGTTGTGATCTTACCGGGAAAAGATCGCTTTCAGATATCCAATATTTAAGACAAAATAAACATTTTACCATTGGTACACGAATCGTGTACCATAATGCGTTTCAGCGTCATGGGACTTGAAAAACGAGGCTAGGCATATTCCACAAGTCAAATCAAACGGTGACATCACATTCTTATCTGGAGAGCATGTGCAATAAATACTATCGGTGTAGACTGGAATAACCAGGCGCCAGAGATTGCCATTCAATTGAGACTTCTGGCGTATTTCGCCGAACATAAATGATTAGAAATTACAGTGAAAACAGAAACGATTGAATGTAAATCAGTTTATATACATTCATATTACATTATTATATGCGTTGCGACCCATTTATGTCAATTTCTAGGTCCCAAATATTAGCGATCTAGCCCCTTTAAATTATAGAAACTTTGAAGTAGATTATTTTATTTGGACACTCTCCTCGGCACTTTTTAGGAGGACTGTTATGGCTCTACATCATTTTTCAAACAGCTAAGCCTGTAAACTGCGGCTTATGGAAATGCGGACGTATAAATTCCTGGTTTAATCGCGTTGGTAAGGGTGATTATTTTCCGTTTTGTAATATGGGAAATTTTGTTTTTAACTTTATGAATTCCGTCTCTCCCATTTTTGTTTTATATAATTTTACCATTATTTATGTAAGTACTTAAATTGGTAATTAAAAACAAACAATATTTTAAACATTATTAAAGATACATTATGGGAGATTAGATAAAGGGTTGGCAGTTCTCACTATAATATACTCTTTAAAAAAAAGTAGGGGATATTGAAATGCAAATACCTATGCAGGTTGTGATATGATAAATAGTCATGGACACTTGACATGCTTTGAGAGTATGTTCACAGATGAAGAACTTATCGCCCCAACAGAACCACTGACCTGCCCGTGCGACACGCAATGGCGCCATACGCGTGGGAGGGGTTCATTGTCAAATTGGACACTTCATGGAAGGGTTGATGAAAACAGCCGCGTCCATGTTTGCTTTCCTATCGGTTCTTGCTTAAGATTTACTGTTTAGCGTATCGTTGCTTTAGTGTGTTACGTTTAATGTGATCGGGAGCTGTTACTGTTCTGCTCCTATACGCCATACAGTGTGCTATGAGGGAAATTTTGCCCGGACAGCAGCACTATCGCCTACTCTTATATCGAATTCCAACTACCAGCGGATCTTTTACGTGCATTTCAATATATACAGGGGACCTCGGTTTTTCGTCTCATCCGAAGGACTAGACAACTGTCCTTGTCAGGCCCTCCATTCTGCACCACTGACAAGGGGAAACCACGTCGGAAAACCTCCGATGAACTTTCTCGGCCAATGCAGGGATCGAACACCCGACCTCCAGGCTAGCGAGCCAGCGTCTTAACCAACTAGCCACCGTGGCTCCTGATATTAGAGGGAGGAAGCAATCACAAGTGATGTACAGACTAAATAAACGTTAAGAAAAACATTAACCTAAGACTGTTTAACTGGCAAGCTGTGAAACGAAATATAAAGGACTTAGCATGCAACAAATTCTATTAATTTAGTTTTTATTTGACGTTTTATTTCTTTCTCTTTTAAGAAATACAGATATAGTTGTAAATGGTTTTATGTCATATTTCGTTGTTGACATACAGTAATTCTTAATATTGATAGTAATATGTTAGAAAAGTCTGGCCTCAGATAATAAGTCCATTACATTACGTCTTGTTTCCAAACTGAAATAAAGTCTTATCAATTGAAATCCAATTGTTGGTCAATAACTTCTTTTCCAGAACCTGAGTAAGCTCTTATTGTCTTTTTGAATGACACTATTTTTGTTCTTTATCAATAGCCATGACGCTGGTGGCATACCAGGGATCGAAAATCAGAATTTTGTCATTTGAAATTGTTATTGAAATGGTGTTTGTAAATCTAATCTATCATTTAGGAGTAATTTTACAAGTCAGTGTTAAAATACGGTCATTTTACTGGCAACTTTCTGCCAGTCCATTTACTGTAAAAATACACAAATATTTTTTACAGTGTATATTTACGCACATGGGTTAAACATACATTATGCAAGAGCTATATCTGTCTATTGCAGATCTTTCTTTAGGACTGAAATTCTATCTAAATTATTAATTAGCCATTAATTAACTTATCCAATCGGATTAAAACAAAGATCATATTTCGTTTCGTTTTTTATTGTTCAAAATTTCGTTTCACTTGTCTTCATTTTACTCGGATATGGAAGAGTTGTTATATTACCGGCGTTTTGGTTGAAGTAATGGATAAGCCAATGAAACGGTCTGTTTGATGCACGAAACTGTGGGTAAACTACACGTACTAGAAACGTTAACGCTGATTGATTAATCAATGTCTGGCGTTATAGGGTCAAAAGCTCCTCGTATGGCCTCCGGCACGACCTACTAAAACCGGTCAGATCTTCATGTAGTGTACGCTATTGAAAGTATAAAAAAACGAAATGAAATATAGATCGGTATTTTAATCAGATTGTTAACTAATCTAGACGATAATCAACCATCGATGCCATCGCTAGCCTGAGATATTTAGCGGATTGGAATACATATTTTGTAAAGTGGATAATCGTAGCGGATTTAGTACTGATGATCGAGGTTGGCCTAAAATTCAAACGCTAATATCTCGGTTCAGAGTGGAGCAATTTGGCTGAAATTTTCAGCATATTCTATTTACGTTATCTATTTTTAACTATTACAGCCAGAACTGTCAACTCATTATCTAATCTCCCATTAATATTTAAATAAATTAAATTTAAAATAAGTGTAGCTGCACGATGAATTAGTTTTGTTTTTCAAGTGACGTTTTGATAACAAGTTTTTGGCAATGCAGTGGAAGCGATTTATTCAATGACATGAGAATTAGTCTCATAATAATGTTTGGTGCAGATCCTAGTAACCTCCTTAAGGACCTGTTATGTCTAAAAGTAGATCAATCACGTGATATGACTATAAGTAGATCAATCACGTGATATGACTATAAGTAGTACAACTATTTATGACTACCAGAGAGCTGTAATAATGTTTGTATATTTTGCGGGGGGTTGGATGGCCGAATGGTTAGCACGTGCGTGCTGTATCATAAAGCCTGTCATTGAGTCAACTGACGTGGTTTCGAATCCCCGGTTGTACGTGACAAGAAGTCGGGTCGCCTGTCCAACCTCGTGGGTTTTCTCCGGGTCCTCCGGTTTCCTCTCACTGCTAAAGACCCCTACGCGCAAGCGAATTACTGAAATAAAATTAAAAACCATATGTTAGTCCCGAAATGACCTAGTTTGTGTCGAGTGGACGTTAAACCCCATTTCTCTCTCTCTCTTGTATATTTTGTGTTACGTCACTGTGATCTTCAAGTCCTTAGTTTGTATATTGTATATTTCTGTATTTATTATCTACATTGTGTGTATATCTTATATGTCTTATATGGTGTATTGTTTGTACGCTTCATAACTGGAGGAAATAAAGAATATAATATAATAATGATACTAATCCAGCGCCCTGTTTCACGAAATTTTAACTAAGATAAAATCCAAATTTTAGTTATTTGATTGGATAATATTAGACTGATTGTAGTGCTTAGCCAATCAAAATTGAAGTATCTACTAAAATTTGGATTTTATCTTTAGTTAAAATTTCGTGAAACAGGACCCAGTTCAAACGGTTAACCAAATTGTGTCCCTTTCAGTCTCGGGTGTCATTCACCGGGGCAAAGGTTATGTAGGCTAGCTCATTGTATTTTATTGATCTTAGTTTCAGACACACCCACTGGTTTGCCGAACACTGTATTAAAGGACAATAATGGTGTCGTGATTTCCTTTTGTGTTCGTCACTTCCCTTTCTTGAACGCTTCATATCGCATCTAGCGTAGCAATGATCTCTGTGTTAAAATTATATTTGGAACGTATTTAACCAGTTCTATCACATATTTGATAAATACCGACACCAATATTGTCCTTTAATTCTTTTTCTTTAATACACCTTGCAACATCAAAGGGATAACTCGTGAACAAATAAACCGTCGACCTTTCTCTGTTTTCATTTCTATACCTAACTTCACTGGGTGCATAAAATGACCCGAGGGTTCGAACCTAGAGGTGTAGTTTAAACGTTTTTTGAACCATAAAACAACACCGCGTATGGGGACAATATTTTTGCGGTGATCCAACCCCCCTATTACAGTAGGTATCGCCAATTCCAACATCACTCCATACTTGGAAAAAATCTCTAAAAAGTATAACACACGGTCCTGAAAACGCTTTGGTACATATAAAAAATCTGCCACAGCCCGTAAAAGTCCTACGTCCGATTTTGTATTACTTATAAGCATCTTATTGAAGTCGTGAATTATGGGTGCTTTTTCCGGATCAAGGGATGGAATTGTTTGGAGAAAGTTGGAAAAATTATTATAAGCAGGTTTTCCAGAGCTATCTTTCCACCAAGCCCAGCGATTTTCTTTATAAGAACTCGACTTATTAAAGACACTCACAGTTCTTTGAAACCAAAATTTATCGCGTGGTAGATCTCCTATATTCCAAGAATTGAGTAGTACGTCATCACCCATAAGGATATAGCCACTGACGTCATAGTTCATAGCTATTGCATGACTTAAACAATTATATATCACGATGCCATGATGGGTAAAAGTTTTAACGAAGCTTACTCTTTGTGTTAGATTTTTTGAAACCGCTACAAATGGTCTAGAATCGTTTGCACAAAATAAAATATGGGAGAAATGAATGCTGTATAATGTCTGTAAATGAAGAATGTTCTGTAAATGTGGGTTATTAAACGCTATAATTAACAATATGTCCTCGTATTGTTTGTGGGTTTTCAACATGTCGTGTGAGATGGCGACTTGAGCATCTGAACACATTTTAACCACTCGGTCCATGTGATTCCATGACATACCATTCGTTTCTATGGCAGCACTGGAATATAATGAAGGTGGATTCTGTTCAGAAGGCCAAAAATACACGACCTTAGGGTCTTTGGTGTTTATAGATAACGCTGACTTACTACTGCTGATATTTTGGAAAAGAGACTGCATATTATGAGAATTGCGTTTGGGGCTGCGTCTTTTTGGTAACACGAATCCTGCTGCTCTTAGATCATTCAACCATGATTTTGCCAGATCATAGTCACTATTCTCCCAGAAATCATGTTCCACTATTTCTCTGCTCAGTCGCATGATGCAGTCATAGAATATAAAATCCGCAGGACATCGCCATTGCCTTAAGAACGTTATCACATCTTCCGTTTGGAAATAAACACGTTTTGCATCAACGACAGCCTCATCTAAAGTAGAATGTTCGCTATCCGTGTGGACAGCATTGGGTGGAAAAAATCCCAAATTGCCATCAATTTCCCATAAAAGTCGCTGGACCCAATATCCTCGCCAGATATCTGGCTCACTATTTTTCACGGTTGTGGGTAACATAAGTGCCCATAAAGCATTGTACAGGAAGAGCGTATCTTTGGAATTAAAGGGAGAGAACACACCAGCTGGTAAAATCACAGGTGGCGCTCTGCTATCAAACGTGGCGTTAAAATGAGCTTTTGTCGTTTTGCGACTTAATTTTAACACTGCGTCGACGTCTGGATCGTTTGATATTAATCCCTGCTGGATTAAGGGTGTTTTAAATTCATGCAAGATATATTCATTCTTTATTTCCTCTCCTATTGAACTTAACGGATAACCACGAGGCCACAATGTAGGTTGACCAAAATGGCGATATGGATTAAACATGTTTTCACCTGCATACACTAAACCTGTCATCATCGACTTGAATCTAAATCGTTGTAATCCATCCAATAGACGCACATTGTCGTCCGTCTCATAAATCATTTTGGCGCCATGAGAAATAGCGTAGAGATATCCGATATTTTTCCTGGCGTAGCTTCCTTCCGGTATTAAATCTGCTGTTTTATACCCAAGTTGATTTTGTTGGTCAATGTCTAAATATACACAGTTGTTTAATCTGAAAAAACAAAACAAGTCCAATTTTCAAAATGTATACAAAGCTTGATCAGATGCGTGAATTCCCGACGGAACACAATCCCTCTTACTGGTGAACTTCGCTGGGCCACAAGCGGGACTGACTCATGATTATTAAGCCATGGAGAGAGAGAGAGAGAGAGAGAGAGAGAGGACGACAGCATGTTAGAATTTTGAATCTAATATACTGCCATACAATATATGGTAAGACCTGATAGGATCACCACGATTACTCCACGATTAAAACCACTCGATTTCAATCATAGCACGAATCGTGGTAGTGGGAGAGAGAAAAAGGGGGGGGGGGTAACTCCACTCGACTCAAACTAGGTCATTTCCGGACTAACACATGGTTCAATTTTATTTCAACAATTTGCGTCCGCACAGGGGTCTTTAGCAGTGGGCGGAAACACGGAACTAAAACAATCATACCATAGACAGAATCCAGGGGCATTATGGGAGATTAGATAAAGAGCTGACAGTTCTGACTATAATAGTTAAACACTAGATACATTATGGGAGATTAGATAAAGAGCTGACAGTTCTGACTATAATAGTTAAACACTAGATACATTATGGGAGATTAGATAAAGAGCTGACAGTTCTGACTATAATAGTTAAACACTAGATACATTATGGAAGATTGGATAAAGAGCTGACAGTTCTCACTATAATAGTTAAACACTAGATACATTATGGAAGATTGGATAAAGAGCTGACAGTTCTTACTATAATAGTTAAACACTAGATAATGTAAAGGGGATATACTGAACATTTCAGTCAAATTGCTCAACTCTGAACCAAGATATTACCGATTGAATTGCACCCTTACGCCTAGCCTCGATCATCATTACTTAAGTCGGTAAATAAAAACAAAGTCTCGATTATCCATTTTTTAGTTTAATCATCGATGAACGTTGAACAGCAGATCGGATTCAAATCCAATGAAAATTGGACACATAAGATGCCATCGAGAGTTGATTATGGTCTTGATAAGTTAATTAATGTCTAATTAATAATTTAGATAACATTTCAGTCCTAAAGAAAGACCTGTAATAGGCAGATTTAGCTCTTGCATAATGTATGTTTAAATTAGTGAAATAAAATGAAATGAAATGAAATGGGGTTTAACGTCCTACTGTTCTGCTCCTATACTGGGCTAATGAAGACGGACATACGCCATACAGTGTGCTATGATGGAAATTTTGCCCGGGCAGCGGCACTATCGCCTACTCTTATATCGAATTCCAACTGCCAAGGGATCTTTTACGTGCATTCTAATGTATACACGGGACCTCGGGTTATCGTCTCATCCGAAGGACTAGAAAGCTGTCCTTGTCAGACCCTCCGTTCTGCTAGGGAAATAAAGGAATGGAACTATTCTTACCGTTTTGCCGGGATTGCGTCCCGTCTCAGTACCACAACTACAACTTTCCATCCAGGAATTCTGGTCAGAGCTGTAATATCATGTTCCCGGAATGACGATGTTGTCACTACAATCCATTTATCATTTTGTGAAAGTGGTGAGCTACAAATATATATATATATATATATGAGAATCTAAATTCAATATCAGTTTTCGTAAAATTCCCGTGTTTTAAAGTTTTTAATTTAATTCTACTAATCTGATTAAAATACAGATCTATATTTCGTTTCGTTTTTTTTATACTTTCGATGGCCTACACTACATGAGGATCTGACCGGTTATAACGATAGGTCGCGTCAAAGGTCATATGAGCGGCTTTTGACCCTATGACGTCAGACATTTGATTAACCAATCAGCAATGATGTTACTAGTGGATTACCCACAGTTTCGTGCAAAACACGCCTAAAGCTCGCCGTAACAGACCGTTTCATTGGCTAATAGCTCACATCATTCAGAACATGGCAATGATAACAACTCTTCCAGATCCTAGTGTATAGTACAGACAAATAAAACAAAATTTTAAACTATAAGAAACGAAACGAAATAGGATCTTTGTTTTAATCAGATTGCAATTCCACAAGTTTAGGCCTAGCCTCGATCATCATTACTAAAGTCAGTACGATAAAAACCTAGTCTCGATTATCCATTTCTCGATGTAATCATCAATGGGCGTTGAGCAACAGATCGGATTCAAATCCAGTGAAAATACGACGCATAAGATGGCATTTGTTATGCCAGTCTACACCGGTAGTATAATCCTGTGGGATTTGTTTATCTTCATTCATCGAGTCGCTTCATTACAAATGGCTGTCGAAAGCATTCTGATACGTGAATTCGTCTGCCAATCTTAAAATTTTCATTTTGTCTTAAATATTTGATGTCCGAATCCCATCTTTTCACGGTAAGATAACAACATCAATGTCGATTTAAACGGACCAATAAGTGTCGACCACTGTGGCCAGGATGATATTGAGTTGGATACTAGTAAGTCTCTTTTGAAGAGATGTCGTCAATACTAATTTGACCATTTGTAGACTAACATGGACCAAGAAAGTTCATCGGAATTTTCTGACGTGGTTTAAGTACCCTTGTCAGTGGTGTAAGACGGGGGGCCTGACAAGGACAGTAGCTGTTTAGTCGTTCGGATGGCACGAAACACCGAGAACCCGTATACTCATTAGGCAGTTAGAAGTCGCTATAAGAGTAGGCCGTAGTGCTTTAGGGGGCTTTAGCGGTGGGTCTTAGGATACAGCACGCACGTGCTAACCATTCGCAGCCCCCCCCCAACAGTGAAGAGGAGATAACGGATATATAATAATTATTCATAAATAAGTTATAAAAAAAAATAAGTTATAAAAATACCTTTGGGTGAATTTGATTACTTCTGGAACTTTGTATTTGGTGCTTCTATCATAAATTAATAGAAGATTAATTAATATTAACACCATCACCAATAATCCCATACATATGAATTTACGCAGATTCCTGCTCTCGATAAAACGTACCATTGTGACACATTAGAAAGCTGCAATTGATCAAATATAGCATTTTAATGTTTTACATGTAAATATATTATAGGGCTATATATATTTGTTAAGGCCAGCTCAATTTGTGCCAAAGTCGCTGAGATGTAAATAAGGTCATTGGGTACGTAATTGTTGGCGAGGTTGTTGGTTAGGGTTATCGGGAGGTGAGGGTTCTTTACAGATCCCCACACAGAAAGCACGGGCCGTGGGTCTAACGTTTCCTAACCCATACGGGAATCGAACCCATGACGGCACCCATTCGCCTCGCAGTTGCCGGTCCAGCGCTCAACCACTGAGCTATCGCACAATCATTTAGCACTAACCTCTCATAGGCCTTTTTGGCCTGAAATCATTTACATTACGCCGCTAAACATAACTAAAATAATAATACCAGGACTGGCTGAGAGGGAGAGAGAGAGGGGGGGGGGGGGTAACACTCCACTCGACACAAACACTAGGTCATTTCGGGACTAACGTATGGTTCAATTTTATTTCAATTATTCGCTTGCGCGTAGGGGTCTTTAGCAGCGGGAGGAAATCTACAAGGTTGGACAGGCGACCCTACTCCTTGTCACGTACAACCGGGGAATCCAACCCACGCCAGTTGACTCCATAACAGACCTTATGATACAACGCGCACGCACTAGCCATTCGACCATCCAACCCGCAGAAAAGTTCTAAGCCTGAAAAGGATAGACCAGTTGGTTGAAACAAACTATTGCCACCATCAAGGACAATCACAATCTGATTAAAACACAGATCCTATTTCGTTTCGTTTTTATAGTTCAACATTTCGTTTTACTTGTCTTTACTACACTAGGATCTGGAAGAGATGTTATCATTGACGTGTTCTGGATAAGTAGTGGGTAATCCACTAGTAACATCAATGCTGATTGGTTAATCAAATGTATGACGTCATAGGGTCATAAGCCGCTCGTATAACCTCTGACGCGATCTATCGCAACAACCGGTCAGATCTTCATGTAGTGTAGGCCATCGAAAGTATAAAAAACGAAACGAAATATAGATATGTATTGTAATCAGATTGGTACAATGATTAAATGAATCACCAACTGCAACTGTGGTGTTATATTTAATTAACATCGTACAAGACCATCTTGAGAACATACCCTTTGAAATAACCGGAAATGGACAAACCTGGCTATAGGGCAGTCACCGAGTAGCTGCAACCGAAAGGACTAACTCCATCAAAGATACATGCCGAAATGGTCTCCACTATAGGGGATGCTGCCCTTTCCTATTCCACAGTAAAGAAGTATGCTGCGGAATTTAAGCGTCCTGGAAGGCCACCAACTGCAACCATCCACGAAAACATTACCCGGGAGCATGATATGGTAATGGCTGATCGACCATTGACCACTCGATAAATTGCCAATGTTGTGGGCATGAGAAGGTTGAGCACATTATCGCCAAAGAGTTAGAAATGACAAAAGTTTTTGCTTTAAGATGGGTGCCGAAGCTTTTGACTGCGGATCAGAATTGTGTCAGATTCCTGACCTCCCGTGACAATATGTGCCGTTTTGAAGCAGATCCTGATAATGTTTTGGTCAGATTTATAACCATGGATGAGACCTGTTTCCAGAAACGAAAAAGGAACTAGCCGGTCGTCATTGTCCTGGTAATGGTGACGTCATGTCAGCTGTGACCGACTTTCTTTTAGGGCGACTGAAGAAAATTTCTTCCTGACCGGCATCCAGGCCTTGCAACATCGTTGGCAAAAGTGTGCACACCTGGAAGGGGACTATGTAGAAAAATAAATAGAAACCATTGAATTTGTACATCTCTTTCACAGATAGGCTTAGACAGGTTCATACATATCGATTTGGTTTGTGCGAGTGTTTAGCAAAAATGAGACCGACTGATGCACGGGCCCCTATTACGAGCCGAGCCGAACACCACAGGTGCGAGCTTTTTTCGGGGGACCCGGGGGCACCCCCCCCCCCCATAGCAAAGTGATAACAAGCCAACAGTGAGGCTGATGTCCCCCGCCGAAATCCCCAAATAAATAGACAACACATAATCGCACATCTATTTTTTCAAAAGTATCGAACAATCAAACTGGTTATCAACTATACACTAAGTTTCATCACTCTCTATCAGATAGAATCAAAGTTATCTTGTCCCAAAGCATCGACCAAAGAAATTGCTTAGCTTTAGCTCGAAATGTTAATCATTGAACTCAGTCAAGACGAACATCTATATCAAGTTTAAACATTCTACCTCAATTAGAAGCAGAGTTGTTATGTTCCAAAGTCATGACCAATCAAAATGCTTATTGCTCCTTAGCCTTAGCAGACAATTCTCATCATCGAACTTAGTCAAGGTATTGATGTAATGAAACTATACACCAAGTTTCATCACTCTCACTTAATTGGAACTAAAGTTATCGTGTCCCAAAGCATCAACCAATCCAATTGCTTATGTCTACTTACCCTAAGCAGAAAATGCTCATCTTCACACTCCGTCAAGACATTACCCTAATAAACACCTACACCAAGTTTGAACATTTTAGCTCAATAAGAAGGAGAGTTATTGTGTTCCTAAGTCTCGGCCAATCAAATTGCTTATCGCCCTTCATACCCCGAGCAGAAAATGCTCATGATCGAACTTAGTCAAGGTATTGATGTAATGAAACTATACACCAAGTTTCATCACTCTCACTTAATTAGAACTAAAGTTATCGTGTCCCAAAGCATCAACCAATCAAATTGCTTATCTCTGCTTACCCTAAACAGAAAATGCTCATCTTCGAACGCCATCAAGGCATTGACCTAATAAACACCTACACCAAGTTTGAACATTCTAGGTCAATTAGAAGGAGAGGTATTGTGTCCCAAAAAGTTTGACGGACAGACAAACGGACGGGCGGACGGACACAGACAGACGGACGAACCCATTTTAATAGTCCCCTGCTTTCTTCGAAAGGCGGGTGACAATTACATCATTTACATTGACCTATATCTTCTATATATTATTGTGGTGAATATACATAAATTAGCAAAGATATGATTATGTCCTCATATTTTCATCAAGTGTCCGTGCTTAGTCAATTATTTCGACCACCGATCGGCGATTTTGTCAAGAGGCAATAGTTCATTGAGGCGTTCCTGTTTCATAACTAAACGTATAACAGTTTTTACTAATCTGAGCTTTGAAAAACTAGGGCGCATTGTGCTATCAAATTGGGGATCACGGTGGCTAAGTGGGTAAGGCGCTGGCTCGCTAACCTGGAGGTCGGGTGTTCGATCCCTACATTGACCGAGAACGTTCATCCAGATTTTCCGGCGTGGTTCCCCCTTGTCAGTGATGCAGGACGGAGGGCCTGACAAGGACAGCTGTCTAGTCATTCGGATGAGACGAAAAACCGAGGTCCCGTGTACACATTGGCGTGCACGTAAAAGATCCCTTGACAGTTGGAATTCGATATAAGAGTAGGCCGTAGTGCCGCTGTCCGGGCAAAATTTCCCTCATAGCACACTGTATGGCGTATGCCCGTCTTCATTAGCCCAGTTCGGAGCAAAACAGTAGGACGTTAAACCCCATTTCATTTCATTTCATGTGCTATCAAAGCACATGCATATTAAAGCAGCATTAGGTAATATTAGATAAAGATCTGACAATTCTTGCTATAATAGTTACAAAATAGATGATAAAAAGAGAACATGCTGAAAATTTCAGTCAAATTACTTCACTCTGCGCCAAGATACTAGCGATTGAATTTAAGGCTAGTCTCGATTGTCATTACTACCGTTGTTACGATAATAAACAAAGTCTCGATTATCCATTTTTACGGTTATTTCGTCCACCATACAAATTATTCAAATCTACTAAATATCACAGGCTAACGATGGCCCCGAGAGATGATTATGGTCTGGATAAGTTAATTAATGTCTAATTAATAATTTAGATAACATTTTCAGGCCTAAACAAATACCTGCAATAGGCAGATTTAGCTCTTGCATAATGTATCTTTAAGTGGGATTGAGGATTAGGCTATAACAGTCTTTCTAACATCCTACCCTTCATAGAAAATATAAAACACAAAAAAAGCTGATAAACACACCACAATAATTTACAACAGAGGACAAATTATTATACAGAGAGAGAGAGAAATGGGGTTTAACGTCCACTCGACACAAACTAGGTCATTTCGGGACCAACACATGGTTTAATTCTATTTCAATAATTCGCATGCGCGTAGGGGTCCCTAGCAGTGGGAGGAAACCGGAGGACCCGGAGAAAACCCACGAGGTTGGACAGGCGACCCTACTCCTTGTCACGTACAACTGGGGATTCGAAACCACGCCAGTTGACTCAATGACAGGCTTTATGATAAAGCAATTATTATACAAAATCAGTTAAAAGATTAATTTAAGCATGTATGTGCGGGTCATATGACATAACGTTTGAATACATATAGATATAAAATGTATTAACAATATGTACATGCTTATAATATGGAGATACACATATAATACATATTATTATAAGAGATAAGCTTATAAAAGAAAAAAAATGTTTCAGTTTTTAATGTTTTCGCATTAATAAACAAACAAAATAGATCTTAAAGGGCTAATCTCGATACTTTTTTGGAGAATAAAACTGTTTAATTTTGTTTTAAAATCCCTGAAAATCCTCTACCTAAGGGCCGAGCAACTAACTCAATATTTGTGATAAGTTTTCAAATGAAATGAAATGAAATGAAATGGGGTTTAACGTCCTACTCTTCTGCACCTAACCTGGGCTAATTGAAGACGGGCATACGCCATACAGTGTGCTATGAGGGAAATTTTGCCCGGGCAGCGGCGCTACGGCCTACTCTTATATCGTATTCCAACTGTCAAGGGGTCTTTTACGTGCACGCCAATGTGTACACGGGACCTCGGTTTTTCGTCCCATCCGAACGACTAGGCAGCTGTCCTTGTCAGAAGTTTTCAAATAACTGAAACCCGTCAGTCTTCATCTGGAAATGGAGACCGGTGTCCCAAGCTGTATTATGCGGTGTCTAGATAAAACCAGACATTTTACCTTTCATTATCAAGTACAGCATTTGGGTCATTCACTGTATAGACCTCTCAATGAACGGGAATCGATTATCAGGTCTCCCAACGAAAAAATTGACACGAAATCTTAAAAGTGTTACGTGTCCGGATAAGCAGTTTTGATGGCCACGTCCAAACGACTCAATATTTTGAGCTGAAATTTTGAGATACGGTCAATACACCATTCCTCGATATTTTGGCGTTTAAATTTCATACATACTCAGACTTTTAGTTTTGAGACTCTGTTCAAATAAGGGATAGTCCCTTTAATGAATTTTGGTTATGCCCATTTTCCTTTAGAAAATATACGAATTTTATTACTGTGTTGGTGTTTGGGTGTGCTAATTATCGAGGACACAGGGCTTTGATTTGTTTTCCACCTTGAGTAAATGTATCAATAGTGAATTACACCACCCACTATGTATACAATTTCACACACTGTCTTCTTTATAATATTATCGGCCTACTTATTCAACAAGGACGTTACTCAAATATCTATTTTATTGTTACACATGTTACGGTGTTAAAGCGAGAATTTCAAATTTTCTAAGAAAGTCAAAACATAATTATTTCTATGTCTTTTGCTCCATAGGTTATCAACTCACTATTATACGATCATGGGCATTATTTCCCACCCTTAAAAATCTATGACAAAGGAAATAACAACCCAATTACCTCCCCTGTTTTGCTATTGACAACATGGGGCAGCCATTTTCCAACGTTGGAATTTGAAGTTAAAAATGATATTTTTGCCAATTTCTCAGCTGGCAATAGCGAATTATAGGATTAATAGGATTATTCTTTAACAAGGTAGGACTGTTTATGGATACCATCTATTTTAAGGCTTTATTTTAATACATTTTAAAAATTTAACTTGAAAATTTGAAATTTCCGCTTTAAGGAGCTAGAAAGATATGACTCTTCATTTTACTCGTGCAAACCAGTGAGGTGATACGATTAAAGTAATGCTAGCTTCCCAAGGAAAACGCGTTTGCGACCGTCTAATTTTCTTGAAGGGGCGGGGGGGGGGGGGCCTGATCATACACGGTAAGCTCCGCTCCTTCGCCTCACGCAGACGACCGGCACCGCTTAACATTCATCGACATCGAGTCCGTATGCCTATGTACAACTAAATCTGCTTTCTCTCTCGCTGTCTTTCACAAATAAAAGTAAGGTACAGTCGACATTGAGATGGCTGACGTGGGAGTAATTCAACATGCTCTACATATGGTTAAAGGATAATATTGGTGTCAGTCATTATCACATATGTGATAGAACTGGTGAAGCACGTTCCAAATATAATTTCAACACAGAGATCATTACTATACGATAGACACAAAATAAAGATTTCAAGAAGTGGGACTTCCATCAGCGCGCTGAATACATAGATCTGGGACCGGTTCCTAGAAAATTCTTAAAGTAAGCACAAAGTCATGCTTCACTTTTTCTTACGTAAGAAACTTATAAAAATACCGTAAGCACAAGTCAAGTATAAGTCTAAGCACATTATGACTGGTAAAGTTTACCATAAACTGAGACTACGATGCTCTTTAACGTCACAAAAACAACTTTGGTATGCGAATTACGTCATAAATTTGTCGTCTGCTTCATTGACGTCATATATGGTTGATTTAGATGCATTTGACATGTCCCCTATACACATATAAAATGTGCCACAAGACAAAAAAACGCAGACATATATAAACTAACTCAATAATTGTGAGAGCGCCTGATCTTAAGTAGCCCGTCAGTTTGTATAGCCTACTATTTACTAATTGGCAAATAAATAAAATGGTTTCAGGGTAGAAGCGAAATTTTCTATAGTATTCTTAATTTCTTCTGTAGAAGGATTTTCTCTTCTTGCAATTTTGTCTCTATTGGTATCAAAAGGTGTCGGAAATGCCGTTGAATAACTCTACGGTCAGCCATCGTTTTGAAGTGGAAACAGACTTAAGGTTGGTAAGCAAGCCGTATACCTTGCTTGGGACTTGCGCTTAGATTGGCTATGTTTAAGAACGAAGTTGTGCTTAAGTTTTTTCTTGGAACGCATAGTAACGTTCTTGTGCTTACAATGAAGTCTACTTAAAATCTAAGCACAAGAACGTTCTTAAGAATATTCTGGGAACACAAAATAAGGTAAGTTTACTAAAATGCAAAGTCTACTTAAATCTAAGCACAAAAACGTGCTTAAGAATTTTCTAGGAATCGGGCCCAGGAGTCACTATGTTTAAATGATGATGGTGATAACTTGTGTGCTGATTGAGATAAACAAAGAGAGCATTACTACGATAGATGCGTAATCGAGGTTTCAACAAACGGAAGTGATGAACGCAAACGGAAAACACGAGTTATCCTTCTATATAACGGACTGAAAGGACGAGTGATAACAGATACGCGTGGGGATTCCTGCTCACTTATAATTCCTTCGAAGACCAAAAGTTATGTGAGACAATGAGAGGATAACTGACAATTCAAATAATGATTGACTGTCACTAGATAAGAGAACACGAGAAAAATAGAAATAGTCCGTACATTCCCTGGTTTTTATTCATTCTATACATAATAAAAACATGGTAATACACGAACGTGTTTAACGAGTTCTCTCACATGTGTGATAATGACTGACACTAATATTGTCCTTTAATTGTGGGATGAAATGAAATGAAATGGGGTTTAACGTCCTACTGTTCATCTGCTTTGCTGGGCTAATGAAGACGAGCATACGCCATACAGTGTGCTATGAGGGAAATTTTGCCCGGGCAGCGTCACTATCGCCTACTCTTATATCGAATTCCAACTGTCAAGGGATCTTTTACGTGCATTCCAATGTATACACGGGGCCTCGGTTTTTCGTCTCATCCGAAGGACTAAACAGCTGCCCCTGTCAGGCCCTCCGCCCTGCATCACTGACAAGGGTGAACCACGCCGGAAAATCTGGATGAACTTTCTCGGCCAATGCAGGGATCGATCACCTGACCTCCAGGCTAGCTAGCCAGCGTCTTACCCACTTAGCCACAATTGTGGGATGACTAGAGCTGTTTTATCATGGTGCCTGCATTGCATCACCAGTACTTATTCAAGGAACTGTGGATGAAGGCTCTTGTAGTACTTTTATCAGCTCATCCATCACCTGACAGGCTGCAGCTCCATCAGCAAGTTTGGAATAAAAGCCACTAATTTGAAGGCAGTTTGTCAGTGCTTTCGGAAAGGACCCAAAAGTCATTAAGTTTGGGTTTATGGAAGGGTATCTTGTGAATGTATATAAACCCGGAACAACGCGCAACGCATCGTTGTCCTTGTCCGGATCTACCAATCAAATACTGTCCCTCTTGTAACCGTCAGGGACCAAACCAGAAGTGTTAGAATCCGACATCATGGCATAAGGTGTGTTGTAAGGTTTCAACAATTTGTTAAGACCTATCGGTGTTTACATCAATAAATGAAATGGGGGTTTAACGTCCTACTGTTTTAAGGCGTCTACAGCGCCTGGGAACACCGGGTGCTATAGACGCCTTAAAACAGTAGGACGTTAAACCCCATTTCATTTCATTTATTGATGTAAAATATTTTTTTGACTGCATAAACTGCCCATGTTTCAAGCGATATTGAATTTGCCCTTTCAATGACATTTTGTGCTAGTTTTAGAACTTCGGTAAATGATTAATTGCCGCCGCCATAGAGTTAATACTCATTGATTTTTCTCTCTGCTAGTTTTAAAAACTGACCTATATTTTACTCACTCAGACTTAACCAATAAATAAATAAAAAGTTAGTTTACAATATTCTGGGGGTCATTTTAGTTTGTAAGTGCTCGGGTTTAAAGCAATGGTTATATGCCGACCCCTAGCTACCTTGGAGTTTAACGAATCATATTCCACATCATAAGCTTTATTTTAAAGGACAATATTGGTGTCAGTCATTATCACATATGTGATAGAACTGGTTAAACCCGTTCCAAATATAATTTTAACACAGAGATCATTGCTACGGTAGTACTGAGAAATTGTATGTCCCACGTGATAAAAGGGAGCGCACAGTAAATGCTTACTTCGAATAGCTATAGTGAATAGTAAAATTAATACATGGAGTGACTCACCTAAAATAGTACAGGAACACAGTTAACTGATATGAAGTATTTAATATCCAGAATAGAAGTGATATCGTATTCTAGATGACTGGTTACCATGTATATAAACTAATTAATCGTATAGAATAAGGTATTCTTATCTATGAAAAGGATTAAAGAGATAACCCAATCATTGCTAACTGATATCCTAGGGATTAAGTAGTTATATAATTTAGCTAATTGCTAATCCTTTGGTCTGATCATGAAATGTAAATCAGTCAAAATGAAATGAAAATGAAATGAAATGGGGTTTAACGTCCTACTGTTCTGCTCCTATACTGGGCTAATAAAGACGGGAATACGCCATACAGTGTGCTATGAGGGTCATTTTGCCGTAGTGTCTCTATTCTCTCATAGTACACTGTATGGCGTATGCCCGTCTTCATTTGCCCAGTATAGGAGCAGACCAGTAGGACGTTAAAGCCTATTTTATTTTCAATATACAAATTCTTACCTGTATACAAACTACTAATGATGGTAGAACTATTAAATACAATTCGTGGTTGTTGAATAATGCCAATAACCCGAGTAAAACGGCAGTAGTATTTTGGCAAACCACAAAAGACGGATTAAGAACTGCAATATTACGGAACCACGACGATTATCCGGGCAAATACTGAATCGACGTTCATATATGTACTATGCACATATGTATATATCTTTTTATTATAACTCCCAGTATGTCTTTCTGAGAAAGGGTATATAATACCCCGACACTGTTCAGTAGGTATGAATGCTTGTACGTTACAAATGTCCGTAAAATAACTGAGAGAGCGAGAGAGAGAGGGGACAAGGCTTAAAGGGTTGATATTGATCGTTTACCGTGACGGGTATCTTATGGTTAAATCTTTTTGTTAAGGCCGGCTCAATTTTTGTCAAGGTCGTTGAGATGTATATAAGGTTAGGGCACGTGATTTTTAGCGAGATTGTAGGTTAGGGTTAAGGCCAGCTCAATTTTTGTGAAGGTCGCTGAGATGTACGTATTGTTTAATGGTCGAGAGCGAGACATTAAGTAATATATTGTAACAACAAGAGGACCGTCAGGTCCGAGTGTTTTTACAATATATTACGCAATGTCTCAGCTCGAGACCATTAAACATCTTAAAATACAGACACTCCGCACGTGCGTTTACAGTGAAATACGTCACTCGAGTCTAATATTTGACAAGGTACGATTGGCAAGTTGCCCGTACGATTATTTGAAATAATGGTACGCCAACATCAAAGGGTGACGTCACATCTGTATTTTAAATAAGGTTAAGGCACGTGATTGTTGGCAAGATTGTAGGCTAGGGTTAGGATACGCATTAGGGATAAGGTCCAGGGTTGGGGTTAGGGTTGGGATTACCGCTAGCTCTGTTTACATCTCGTGACATATGACGAAAAATTGAGCCGGCCTTATCATTTAGCACTAACCGTATTTTGTATGTTTGTTGTTGCTGTGATTGGTTATTCAGTACAGACCATTATTTATTCATAGATGTTAGACTTAATTACTATAAAATGCAGGTGCTTCTATGGTTACAATACTATATAAAATTGACTGTATTCAGCCCCAAGGGGGATTTTATCTTATTGAAAAAGAACAGCACGCAAAACATTTCGGAGCCACGGTGGCTAAGTGGTTAAGACGCTGGCTCGCGTGTTCGATCCCTCCATTGGCCGAGAAACTTCACCGGGATTTTTCCGACGTGGTTTCCCCTTGTCAGTGGTGCAGGACGGAGGGTTTGTCTAGTCGTTCCGATGGGACGAAAAACCGAGGTTAAATGTATACATTGGGGTGCAAGTAAAAGATCCCTTGGCAGTGGAATTCGATATAAGAAATGGCCATAGTGCCGCTGCCCGGACAAAATTTTCCACATAGCACACGTGGAGGTATATTGTCGTCGCTCCTGTCCATCCGTCCGCCAACAATTTGTTTGTGAACACTCTACAGGTAACAGTTTTGACGAAACTTGACATATAGGTTTATCTCCCAAAGATCTCGGTTCCTTTCGATATTGGCATGTATGTGACCGTAACTTCGTGGATTATGACCCCTGTTTGTACGAAAAATCACGTTTTAGCCCGTGGACACTGCAGATTAAACTTAAAATTCATATTTATAACCCAACTATCCCGGTTCCTTTAAATATTCGCGCATATTGGACCGTAACTTCCAGGATTGTGGCCCTCTATCGCTTTTTTTTTAGCTTTTTCTCTGCCCATCTCTTGCAAAATGTGGGCTTATCTTGCTTGGCAACCTTTTTTTTCTATTTTTATTTTACCGACATTCCATTCAGATACCATTTTCAATAGAAGGCTTGATCTCGCCTTAACTACGTACATCTTATCAAGCATTTCACGTAATACCCCGCATATTTAGCACTAATTTTGATTGGGTATAAGCCCAGCTTGTGATCCTATCAGAATCCTTCGTTAAAAATATCGTTACGATTATCAAGTCTCGCGCTTCTAGCTAAAATGTCTACATGTGACAATTGAGTTGCAAAGTTCAAGGTTTGATCAATGTCAAGGTTGCTGGAAATTATGGCTGATCAACAAAGGCTGTAAACTTGTCTATTTCTTTTTATATGGAGGCCGCCATATTTGTTTACAGTGTGTTATGTGCCACGACCTCTGATTGGACAATGCTAATTAGTAACGTGTAAACACTACGAGCGCAAAAATTCGGGAATTGTTGAGTATTGAAGCAACGGCTAGATGTTGTAAAACTCCCGGTCGTTGCTTCAGGAACATGTTCAGATTCTAACTCATACCTTCCGATACCTTGATGACTTAACACCCATCAATGATAACGCAAATTTCAACAAATATAAAAGTAAAATATATCCCCCAGAACTAATATCAAATAAAGAAAATTCCGGCACAATAAACTCACCTGTTCTTGATCTGGGGCATGTTTCACGAAATTTTAACTTAGATAAAATCCAAATTTTAGTAATTTGATTGGATAATATTAGGTTGATTTTAGCGCTTAGCCAATCAAAACTGAAGTATCTACTTCAATTTGGATTTTATCTTTTGTTAAGATTTCGAGAAACAGAGCCCTGGACATTAATATAATTAACATTGGATTTAATGCCGGCATTTTAAAAGAAATTTTGAAACTTTCATTTCTTCAACATACCAAGTTTGACATTTCTTATAAGTATGTAACCGACTACATATGAGGGAAATTTTGCCCGGACAGCGGCACTACGGCCTACTCTTATATCGAATTCCAAATGTGTACACGGGACCTCGGTTTTTCGTCCCATCCGAACGACTAGACAGCTGTCCTTGTCAGGCCCTCGATCCTGCATCACTGACAAGGGGAAACCACGCCGGACAATCTGGATGAACTTTCTCGGCAAATGCAGGGATCGAACACCCGACCTCCAGGCTAGCGAGCCAGCGCCTTACCCACTTAGCCACGTGATCCCCCTAAAAGACTGGTAACAGCTAAATTCCCACTCAAACAATGCCGTAATGAAAGCAAATTAATTTTTGTTCCAAATTATGACTGGTCAATAGTCCCATTAACAACCAATACCTAACTGTGTAACATTAACATTCGGTTTAAACAGAGCTCCAGATATCTTTACATAACGTTACGTCGTGACTCACGATTTAATTACGCCCAATTAACCAGTGATTAGCAGAATATTGCAGAAAATTGCTTGACAAACGAGGCTATCAAAATGGCTACAATGTAAACAATATTGCTTGGAGACGAGCAATACTTTCGCAGTTTTTAATACCTTAAATCACTGTCTAAAGCTTTAGGAAAGACCCCAGATTAAACGAAGGGCTGTCATGTTGCTGTACTTGAGATAGATTTGATTGAAGGGGAAGAATGGACACACTCCCTCAAAAGCTCAAGTATCAGAAGCCAACCCAGCAATAGACTGACAGGATTTTCTTGGGCCATTGCTTCAGAAATATGACAGCAGTTGGGAAATTTGACTTGTATAGTACTGAGACATTCATTTCCTATTTTTTGAAACCCGAACATATACAGAAACCTACGTTATAACAATCAGGCTCCAAATGTATATTGAATTTGGTAAGAGTGTGATATGATTTACAAACCAAATTTAACTATGTTAGTATATTGAATTTGCTAGAGTGGTATATGATTTAGAGATCCCCTATGTAAAGAGGAAATGGAAAATACAGGATCTCTATGTAATATATAACGTCTCTATATAAATACTATTATTATAACTATCATAATTGAACTGGCTTTGTATTATAACTATTTCATGATATAATTAAAATATACCCCCCAAAAAAGAAATGTTGGATGTCTTTATCAAAAATGTTTCCGGTCTGCCGCTTGTAGGAGTTCGTATCAGATCAGACAAACATTGGTAATCCCTAGAGGCGTTGTTTTTCGTCCCATCCGCCTGACAAGGACAGTTGTCTAGTCGTTCGGATGGTACGAAAAACCAAGGTCCCATGTACACATTGGCGTGCACGTAAAAGATCCCTTGACAGTTGGAATTCGATATACGAGTAGGCCGTAGTGCCGCTGTCCGGGCAAAATTTCCCTCATAGTGCACTCTATGGCGTATGTCCGTCTTTATTAGTACAGTTCGGAGAAAGATGTTAAACCCCATTTCATTTCTATTGTAGTAAAGTCATATCTTCACAAAAAATAAAAATGACAATAAAATCTTGAACGTTTTAGACGTTTTTGACATCTTCTCCGAAACCACTTGACTGAATTTTTCTCATAAACATTATTTTGATCCGAGTTGCAACAGGCTGTTAAAACAGGTCTGTTTATAAAGCACAAATATTCGAGGCTGTGGGCCACTCTACCAAATATCAAATTCCACTCGAACCGTCACAAAGCTATGAGTGTAGGATTTGTTCTCTTGTGGCGTAAGACATACGGTTTCTTATGGACTTTCCATATTGACTGTAGCTTAAAATCTTACTGATAAAGACGTTCAACTCGGAAACAGTAATAGAGAATTTATTACATATAGAGATGTGAACTATAATGATGCCAGAAACCCTGAAGAAATTATCAACTATTTATGTACATCATAGAGAAAAGTTTACTTATATTTCATATATGTAAATAATTATGTAAATTCTGTATAGTATTGTGTACTACGAAATAAAGCATTATTATTTACTTACGTATTGTGTTGGTTTTCTTCATCAGTTGTCACCGATATAGCCTATCCCTGTTGTATCCTTTTTAATCTAGCAAAGCCAAACATGTATCACAAAACATACGAAGCGATATAGGTGGGTGCGTGTACAGGTTCATGACCCTCCTATTCTTACTGATCATCGTCAGTTTAGTCAGCCATGACGAAATAAAATAGTGGGTAGGCAGATATTAATAATACAGGTATATATACATAACCCCTGACCGATTTTGCCTGCACTCCGGCCATCGTAGGCTAACAGTGGGTCAGTCATGACGTAATAAAATAGTGGGTAGGAAGATATAGATATCTCATATAAGTAATATAGACGTATTCTTACATCAGAGTAATATACTGGATTTCGCGGAGTCTAAATCTAAATTTTGTTTATCTAAAGATAATTTGCTTTCCTTTAGTTTAGCCAAGTCCTTCCATTC